CCCCCCCCCCCCCGAGTGCACAAATTTTTGTGCACCGGGCCCGGGTACTAGTATAATAAAAGCCTCATATGCTAAGTGTCTGGTTGTCTGGTCATCCGTTCAACCAATCAAAGCATAATATGCTAATGATATGCTAAAACTGCTCAACCACTCACTATGAAGTGAACTGACCACCAGGGGGCAGACAGTTGAATGATCAACCAGTTGCTATGATGTGTACTGACCACCAGGGGGCAGACATTCCAACCGGTAGGTTAAATTGCTGCTGGGGTCCAGCTGATTGAGACTGAACAGGAGGAGCCAGAAATGCCCTGGAGCCATCCTGCAGTCTCTCCCAGGCTGGCCAACTTCCTGTGTAGCTCCCTGGAACCGATCATGCACTGGTGGGGTCCCTTGGCCTGGCCTATGCCCACTTGCAATCTGGGACCCCTCAGGGGATGTCAGAGAGCCGGTTTCAGCCCGATCCCGCAGGCCAGGCCAAGGGACCCCACTGGTGCATGAATTCATGCACCAGGCCTCTTGTTGGAGGATAAAAAAGCCATAGATTTTTGGCGTTAATTTTGTTAATCCTGCTACATTGCCAAATTCATTTATTAAGTCTAGTAGTTTTTTGATGGAGTCTTAAGGGTTTTCTATGTACAACATCATGTCATCTGCAAACAATGACTATTTTACTTCTTCTTTTCCAATTCGGATGCCTTTTATTTCTTCTTCTTGTCTGATCACCATGGCTAGCACTTCCAGTACTATGTCAAACAGGAGTGGTGAAAGTGGGCATTCCTGTCTTGTTTCTGTTCTTAGGGGAAATGAGTTTAGTTTTTGCCCATTGAGTATAATGTTGGCTGTAGGTTTGTCATATATGACTTTTATTATGTTGTGGTATGATCCTTCTATTCCCACTTTGCTGAGAGTTTTAATCAAGAAAGGGTGTTGGATTTTGTAAAATGCTTTTTCTATATCAATGGATATGATTATATGGTTTTTATCTCTCAATTTGTTTATGTGGTGTATCACATTTATTGATTTGCAGATATTGTACCATCCTTGCATCCCCAGGATAAATCCCACTTGGTCATGGTGTATGATCTTTCTAATGTAATGCTGGATCATATTTGATAGATTTTGTTGATGATTTTAGCATCTATGTTCATGAGGATATTGGCCTGTAATTTTCTTTCTTTGTATTGTCTTCATTTGTTTTTTGGGATTCGGGTAATGCTGGCTTGATAGAAAGAGCTTGGAAGTGTTCCTTCCTCTTGAATTTTTTGGAATAGTCTGAGGAGGATGGGTTTTAGTTCTTCTTTGAATGTTTGATAAAACTCCCCTGTGAAGCCATCTGGTCCAGGGATTTTGTTTGCTGGAAGTTTTTTATTATTATTATTATTATTGCTTCAATTTCCTCCACAGTTATTGGCCTATTCAGATTTTTTTATTCTTGTTTGAGTTTTGGAAGGACATATTTTTCTAGGAATATGTTCATTTCTTCTAGGTTGACCATTTTGTTGGAATAGAGTTGTTCATAGTATTTTTTTAATAATCCTTTGTATTTCTGTGGGGTGTGTTGTTAGTTCACCTTTTTCATTTCTGATTTTATTTATATGGGTCCTCTCTCTTTCCTTCTTGGTGAGCCTGGCTATAGGTTCATCTATCTTGTTTATCCTTTCAAAGTACCAACCTTGGTTTCATTGATCTTTTGTATTGTTTTTTTGTTTGTTTGTTTTTTCTATGTCATTTACTTCCTCTCTGATCTTTATTATTTCCTTCCTTCTGCTCACTCTGGGCTTTTCTTGTTGTTCTCTTTCTAATTCTTCAAGTTGCAGAGTCAGATGGTTTATTATCACTTTTCCTTGTTTTTTGAGGTAGGCTTGTAATGCTATGAACTTCCCTCTCCGGACTGCTTTCACTCTGTCCCATAGATTTTGGATTGTTGTGTTTTCATTGTCATTTGTTTCCAGGACATTTTTTTATTTCTTCTTTCATCCCTTTGGTACCCCATTCACTGTTTAATAGCATGCTATTCAGCCTCCAAGTGTTTGAATTTTTGTGATTATTTTTATTGTAGTTTATTTCTAATTTTATGTCATTGTGATCTGAGAAGATGCTTGATATGGTTTCAGTCTTATTGAATTTGAAGAGACTTTGCCTCTGTTCCAATATGTAGTCTATCTTTGAAAATGTCCCATGTGAACTTAAGAAGAATGTCTATTCTGTAGCTTTGGGGTGGAATGTTCTGAAGATGTCTATTAAGTCCATTTGATCTGGTGAGTCATTTGGGATTGCTGTTTATTTGCTAATTTTTTGTCTAGAGTATTTATCCAGTATTGTCAGTGTGTTGTTAAAGTCCCCTACTATGATCATATTGCTGTCGATCTCTCCCTTGATATTTCTCAGAATTTTTTTTTTTTGTATTTGGGTGCTCCTGTATTGGGTACATATATGTTTACCAGAGTTGTATCCTCTTCTTGTATCGATCCCTTTAGTATTATGAAGTGTACTTCCTTATCTCTTGATATGGCCTTCACTTTGAGGTCTATTTTATCAGATATAAGTATTGCTACCCCATTTTTTTCTCATTTCCATTTAGCTGAAAGATATTTTTCCATCCCTTCACTTTCAGTTTGTGTGAGTCCCTTGTTCTGAAGTGGGTCTCCTGTAGATGACATATATATGGGACATGTTTTCTTATTCATTCAGTCACTCGATGTCTGTGATTGGAGCACTTAGTCCATTTATTTTTAATGTTATTATTGATAGGGACTTGTTTGTAGCCATTTCTATTCGTTATGCCTGTGTTCCTTCCCTTTCTATTTCTTCTTTTTACAATAGTTGCTTTAGCATTTCTTCCATTGCTGGCTTGGTAGTGATAAACTCCCTTAGCCTTTTTTTAATGTGAAGCTCCTGACTTCCTCTTCAATTTTGATTGATAGCCTTTCTGGATAGAATATTCTTGAATTCAGTCCCTTGTTTTGCATCACTTTGTATACTGCATTCCATTCCCTTCTGGCCTGATGTATTTCTGTTAAGAAATAATTTGATAATCTGATGGGATATCCTTTGTAGGTTACTCTCTATCTCTCTCTTGCAGCCCATAAGATTCTCTTTTTTTGTTAACGTTTGCCATTGTAATTACGACATGTCTTGGTTTGGATCTTTTTGGGTTCTTCTTGCTTGGGACTCTGCTTGTGTGACTTTTTCTTCCCTAAATCAGGGAAGTTTTCTGTCATTATTCCTTCAAATAGGTTCTCTAATCCTTGCTGCTCTTCTTTTCCTTCTGGTACCCTTATTATACATTTGTTACTTCGTTTCATGTTGTCCCAAAGCTCCCTTAGGATCCCTCCTGCATTTTATTTTTTTCTCCAATTGCTGTTCAGATTGGGCTTGTTTCTCTACCGTATCTTCTAACTCACTAATTTGGTCATCCACTTCTCCTGGTCTACCTTCCATCATGTTTTTTTTTTATTATTATTGTAGCTATATCACTTTTTATTTCCTCCTGATTCTTGCATAGGTTGTTGACTTTCTCATCCATCTGGTTTATGAACTATGACCATTACTCTGAATTTCTTTTCTGACATATTGCATCCCTCCATTTCACTTAGTTCTTTTCTTGATGATTCCTCCTTTTTTTTTTTCCTTTGGGGATTGTTTCATTGTCTCCCCATTTTCACTGTCAACAGAAAGTCCAAGTGCTGAGTTGCAGGGTCCTAAGCCATGTGAGGTGGGGTTGTCGTGCAACCCGAGTGTCACTGAAGAGCTCAGGCAACAAGACGTGTTGCTGCTGTGGGTCAGCTGGAGCCAGGCACGCTGAGAATCAGAGTCACTGGCACTTGGTGAGGCCTCGTGAGAGCATCGAGAATCAGAGTCCCTGTGTGCACACACTGAGAATTAGAGTCCCAGCATGCATGTGCTGAGAATCAGTCACTCATTTTCAGTGTGGCCTTGCGTGAGCACCAAGAATCAGAATCCCTGCAAGCAAACACCAAGAATCAGAGTCACTGGCCTGCTAAGAGACCAGGTTGCAGGGCCACCCTGTGTCTGCAGGAGGTCCGCTCGCATGCCGTAGGTTGCAAATGCCCTATGCTGCTTCAGTGGGCCAGCAGGAGGGGGATGTGCTCTGTGACTCACAGGAATCTTCAGTCAGGATGGCTAGAGTCGCAGAGCCTGGGGGTTTGCAGCAACGGTAGCAGATCTTTGTCCAGAGTGGCTCTGGGGTCCTGGTTTGCACCTGAGGCCAGTCTGGGTGGTGGTGAGGCTGGGTACCCAGTCACAGCAGTTCTCTACTCTAACTTTTGAAAGATATTTTCATTGGGTACAGAATTTTAGGTTGACCTTGTCATTGTTAAATTCAGTACTTCTCACTTGTATTGTGTGCAATGAAAAATCTGTTACTGCCCTCATCTTTGTTCCTCTGTATGTATGTGTCTCCTTTTCCTCCGACTCATTGAAAAAGAATTTTCCCTTTATCACTTATTTGAACAATATGATTATAATGTAGTTTTCTTCCCATTTCTTGTGTTTGCACTTCCTTGAAATTTTGAATCTGTTGATTTATAGTTTTTTTTTCTTCTAATTTGAAAAATCTTCAACCATTATTTCTTTAAATATTTTTCTTCCCCCACAGCTTTCCTGAAGAGACTCCAATTACATGAAGTTGTTCCACAGATCACTAATACTTTGTTGATGTATCTTTTTCTGAGTGTGTGTGTGTGTGTGTGTGTGTGTGTGTGTGTGTGTTATTTTGGATAGTTTCTAGTGCTATGCCTTTGAGTTCTCTAATATTTTCTTTTGCAATATCCAATTTACTATTAATCCCATCCAGTGTAAGGTTCTTCTTTTTACATATGCTGTGTCTTTACTAAAGTAAGTATATGTAATAGAGTATAATAACTTGTTTTCATGCCTTTATCTACTAATTCTAAGACTTAAACCAGTTCTCAGTCACTTTCAATTGATTTATTTTTCTCCTCATTATGGGTTATATTTTTTTGCATCTTTGAATGCCTGATAATCTTTGAGCAAATGCCAAAAATTTTGACATTTACCCTGTTCTGTATTGGGGGGGAGTGTTATTCCTTCAAACATTCTTGAACTTTGTTCTGGAACACAGTTAATTTACTTGGAAATAGTTTGATCCTTTCATATTTTTCTGTTAAGATTGGTTACTGCAGGCCAGAGTAGTGATCAGTTGAGTCTATTTATTACCCACTACTATGGATGGACCCTCTGATACTCTACCCAATGCCATGAAATATTGAGGGTTTTCAATCTAGCTGGTGGTAACAGGAACTGTTTCCCACCATATGTGAACATTGGACACTGTTCCCTCTAATTAGTTGATTCTTTCCCTAGACTTGGCTAATTCTCTTACATGCATGATCACTATACATCTGGATATTCAAGGGAGGAGGCTTCTATACACGTCTAGAGTTATCTTTGTATGCAGCTCTCTCCAATCCAGTACATTATTCCACCTTGGTGAAAATTAGCCATCTTTGTGTCCCCAGTCTCTAAACTTCCTTGACTCATCTTCGGGAAGGTCACTGGAATCCACCTACATTTTATTTTACTGCACATAGCCGGCAAACTCACTGAAGACAGTAAGCTTGGACATTTGTAGGGATAATCTTGTTTTTTTTTCTCTTTCTCTCTCTGATCACTATCATTGCTTGATAACCAGGGTCTTCAAAATCATTGTTTTATATATTTTGTTTGTGATTTGGTCATTTCAGGCAAGAAGGTAAATCCAGTCCCTGTACTTGCTCTTGTTAGAAGTTAAAGTA